ATTTTGCTTGAATCTTTGTTTATTAGGTAGCTCTTCTGTTGATAGAGATCAAACTATATGGGATAAAATCTAGTGCAGTTCAGTCAAACCTCTCAGATTTAAACTTCTGTAATGGTGTTTCAGCTTTGATGTTGCAAGTAACCTTCTCTATATATAGCAGTGCTTGCATGTTTGTTTGTAGGTGCAGTCATCATTGATTCAGCTCCCCATCATGGCTGATTCTGAAAAGTCATCCAAGTTGACCAAGTCTCTTCTTCTTTGCTTTCACTGGCTGTAAACTCTGGCAGCAAGTTCTGGCTATTTGGTCCTTTTCCAGGACTTGCATGCACATGTGCTTCACAATTTAGGCTTATTTTTATACAGACTGTCCATTTCTCACCTCTCTGGCAGATCTACTCTAACTTCAAAGGAATGTCAATTCTATCCATGTTGGTCAGGCCTTTGGTTGGTGATCTATTTCTAGGATGACCGTGGAGAGTTATAGATAGATCTAGAGCACTGGCATGGGCAGCAGAGCAAACAGCCACACATACAGTAATTGTATCAAGACTCCATAAACATGCTTCAGAAGATAGCAACAGGCGGTATGTGCTCTGAATGGGTAGAAAGCATTCAAAAATTACACTAAACCTCCCTCACCTGGATCTACACACCTGGTCATGCTAGTATAAGGGGTAGTAAGTGAGCGGTCCTACTGGCAAACAGTGTACCAACACATGTGGTAAGAAGCATGGACAGAGCAGATAGCATCAACGCTGTACAGACTAGGTTAGTTGATAATGACAAATCTCTGACACCAACACAATTGCACCAGATGGGAATAAAACATGGTGAAGCACATCTATGCTGCCTTTGAGGCTGAGACAGGAGACATTATAACCAGCCTCTGATGGGAACAATCAGTAGAAGTACCTTGGATTGAGTGCTGCATTGGAGGACTGAGCACGCATGGGAATGCCCAATGTGCAGTGACATCGATTGTGATAACGTAACATTAGAGATAGATCTTGACCAGTATGAACCCTGGTCTTAGTGCACCTTAACATGTTTTACAGCACCTTTTCATCTTTGATCCAGCCTAAAAATGTGTACTACAAAATGTGATCACATAATCCAGAGGTGCTCAAACTTCCTAATGCCGCAACCTATTAACACATTTCCTCATATTGAGATGAGCACCCCACCATAAAATAATTATCATTGATTCTTCATAACTTCAGTGCATATCTATTTTAGGATGGTCTTAGGCCACCCTTGAGATAGCCTCATTTGACCCACAAAGTGGTCGCAACCCACAGTTTGAGAACCGCTGATATAACCCATCCTTTGCCAGCTGTTTTATAAAAAAAAAAAGAAAGAAAATTGGGCCGCAATGATGGAAACTTCTTCATTTACATTTCCTTTGTACCAGTGTATAATGTACATGCATGTGTACATGCATGTGTATATGCGTACATCTGTGTAAATTGGTGTTTTGTGGCTGTGGAGTTTGTGTGTGTAAATGGGTATTTTGTGGATGTGGAGTTTGTGTGTGTAAATGGGTATTTGGTGGGTTTGGAGTTTGTGTATAATCCTTGCTGCTGTTCTCATCAGAGCTGTAGGATAGTTTCATATATATATATATTATATGTATAACTGTATATTAGCATTTTTACATGTTTATATATACGGCTAATGTTTGTATGCATATATGTTTTATGAGCATACTTGTATATGTATTCAGGCTATCATAACACATCACATACTTGTGGTGAATGTTTTATTGATGTGCAGTCATATTCTTATGTATATTTGAACTTATATTACTCAGTATAGTTATTTAGTCTTGTTTACAAAGATGCTGTGCTAAACAATAATGTTGTGCTAAACAATAATGTTGTGCTAAACAATAATGTTTATTTGCTGTGGTAATAATGTCCTAGATGTATTTGTTAGTGATGTTCTCTATGTTCTCCTTAGATGCTGAGTGCTCATGTTTTCAATATTTAGCGAATGCTGCAACACATTACAAGTTTTTTTTTATTTGCAATTTTGTTTATATATCATTAGTATAATGAGCTATTCTAGAAAGCAATTTGCCTAGAGAGACCACACAATAGCCAGGGGCTGTTAGGGTTGGTTCTGCAATGTCCTGTAAAGGATACGCAACTATCTTAACATAATGAGCTATATTTCCCTGCATGGGTTCCAGGGCTTCTTTTTGGAGAGTAAAGAATAGGCCTACTATCCCCCCCCCCCCACCCAAAGCTAAGTCCTCTTAGACCAGCTGCCAACCAAAACTGTCCTCTTAGACCAGCTGCCAACCAAAACTGTCCTCTTAGACCAGCTGTCAACCAAAGCTGTCCTCTTAGACCAGCTGCCAACCAAAACTGTCCTCTTAGACCAGCTGCCAACCAAAGTTGTCCTCTTAGACCAGCTGCCAACCAAAGTTGTCCTCTTAGACCAGCTGCCAACCAAAGTTGTCCTCTTAGACCAGCTGCCAACCAAAGCTAAGTCCTCTTAGACCAGCTGCCAACCAAAGCTAAGTCCTCTTAGACCAGCTGCCAACCAAAGCTAAGTCCTCCAAGATCAGCTGACAACCAAAGCTAAGTCCTCCTAGACCAGCTGACAACCAAAGCTAAGTCCTCCTAGACCAGCTGACAACCAAAGCTAAGTCCTCCTAGACCAGCTGACAACCAAAGCTAAGTCCTCCTAGACCAGCTGACAACCAAAGCTAAGTCCTCCTAGACCAGCTGACAACCAAAGCTAAGTCCTCCTAGACCAGCTGACAACCAAAGCTAAGTCCTCCAAGATCAGCTGACAACCAAAGCTAAGTCCTCCTAGACCAGCTGACAACCAAAGTTGTCCTCCTAGACCAGCTGACAACCAAAGCTAAGTCCTCCTAGATCAGCTGCCAACCAAAGCTAAGTCCTCCAAGATCAGCTGACAACCAAAGCTAAGTCCTCCTAGACCAGCTGCCAACCAAAGCTAAGTCCTCCTAGATCAACTGCCAACCAAAGCTAAGTCCTCCAAGATCAGCTGCCAACCAAAGCTAAGTCCTCCTAGACCAGCTGACAACCAAAGCTAAGTCCTCCTAGACCAGCTGCCAACCAAAGCTAAGTCCTCCAAGATCAGCTGCCAACCAAAGCTAAGTCCTCCTAGACCAGCTGCCAACTAAAGCTAAGTCCTCCTAGACCAGCTGCCAACCAAAACTGTCCTCTTAGACCAGCTGCCAACCAAAACTGTCCTCTTAGACCAGCTGCCAACCAAAGCTAAGTCCTCCAAGATCAGCTGCCAACCAAAGCTAAGTCCTCCTAGATCAGCTGCCAATTAAAGCTAAGTCCTCCAAGATCAGCTGCCAACCAAAGCTAAGTCCTCCTAGATCAACTGCCAACCAAAGCTAAGTCCTCCTAGACCAGCTGCCAACCAAAGCTAAGTCCTCCTAGACCAGCTGCCAACTAAAGCTAAGTCCTCCAAGATCAGCTGCCAACTAAAGCTAAGTCCTCCTAGACCAGCTGCCAACTAAAGCTAAGTCCTCCAAGATCAGCTGCCAACTAAAGCTAAGTCCTCCAAGATCAGCTGCCAACTAAAGCTAAGTCCTCCAAGATCAGCTGCCAACCAAAGCTAAGTCCTCCAAGATCAGCTGCCAACTAAAGCTAAGTCCTCCTAGATCACCTGCCAACCAAAGCTAAGTCCTCCAAGATCAGCTGCCAACTAAAGCTAAGTCCTCCTAGATCACCTGCCAACCAAAGCTAAGTCCTCCTAGACTAGCTGCCAACCAAAGCTAAGGTCCTGTTCTGCCCTGCCATAAACATACTATGTTATCAATGTTGAAAGTTTAGTAAACAGTTTTATTCTCTATCAGCTGTATTACCAGTTTTCTCTGTATTTAATGTTAACAGTACTTTCTGTTTCTTGCATTGGCGGTGTTGTTTACATTTTTTTGGGATATTCAAGTTATATTTTTATGGCTATTAATTTACTACATTTACATTGTTATGAATAATCCTATATTAACAAAATATAGGCCTTTTAACAGTGGTTTTGTATACTATGCTAATTAATTGACTGAATGCTCATTGGCCACATCCAGTTCAATATTATTTATTTATTGGTAAATATTCCCCTTGTAATGTCTATCAGTTAGTTGTCTCTTTGACAGATCAGCTCATTGGCGGTTTATTAATTGATACAGTCCAGCTCATTGGTTGTTTAGTTAATTGATACAGTCTATTAATTGGCTAATAAAAGATCTGAATATATGTTCACAGATTGTTTATTCTTTGATAATGTATATTCTTGGCGTGTATTTTCAGAAGGTGTCTATTCATTCATCTGCTCTGTCTGTTTATTGAATGTTTTTTTTTCTAATACTGTCTCTAGACTAAAAATAGTTCTCTTTTTTTTCTCTCTAAATGTACACATATTCTGTCTTAGTCACTTTGCATCAAGTTCTTGTGTGCTGGGAGATTATGTTGAAAAACAAACATTTGTTATTAACAGAGATGGTTTTGAATGTTGGTTTCTGACTAGATACAATAGAACATTAGAGGTAAAATAAAAAATAAAAACATAACTCTTTCCACCAAGAAGGTTTTTGCCACCAGTTTGAAGGGAAAAAAATGAGAATAATGAAAAATAAGTCGGTCACTTTCATAGAATTTTAAATACAAAATGAAAGTGATCAATGAGGAAAATTTACTTATTTAGTCAGCTCTGACTAAATATATATTGTAAGACAATGGAATGAGCAATGGTTGAGGTTGCACAGAAGCAAAAAGTTACATTACACTTTAAATAGGGTCAGAAATAATAACTGTGAGTTTATGTCTGATGAAGTCTTGCAATACAATTATGCATTAATATTTTTGTGTGCATCTTATTTACATTTATATCTGTCAATTAAGTTATTGTTTTTTCCTAGTTTAGTTGTTATTTACACTACAGTAATTTATTTAAACATGTCTAATTCAGCGAAATATTTTTAACAGTGTTTAACTATTTTTTTTTCTTCATTGCAGGCCAGGGAGACAGCAAAATATGATCTAGTCTTGGTTGGACACTCTCTTGGAGCTGGGACAGCAGCCATTCTGGCAATCCTACTTAAGGCTGACTACCCTAACTTACATTGTTATTCCTATAGCCCACCTGGTGGTTTACTTACGTGAGTTCTTTTTTTTTTTTTTTTTTTACATTGATTATATATCTCTTCTTATTCATTCTCCAACAGTCATCATCATCATCTTTTGATCAAGCAACCAAAGTGTTTATTCCTTTTTTTTATTGCTTCCCCCCCCCCCCCCCCCCAACATTACATTTGCAAGCCTTCACTAAATTTTCAAGTTAATTTGTCCACATAAAACGCCCTCAGAATCTAATGTCTTTGCCAAATTTGTCTAATCTAAGAGAAATGTTGTGAAACCACTAGTTTTAACAGTTATAACACAGAAAAGATATCCTTCCCTATACTGGACACATTCCAAGAGGAGATGACAGAGAATCACCAAACAGGCACTGTAATTGAAAACAGAGGTATGGAGGAAACAAAAGACGTCCAAGGGAAACACTAGGGTGAACATTGATGAGAGAAACCAAAGGTGTTGGACTGGATTCCATCCTGCCTGCACAGGATATCATGGAATGGAGAAATAGACTCGGAGGCCTCTGCGACATATAATGGCACAACAGGATAGTTAATAAATTACTCTAAACACTTTATAACTGGCCAGCAGCTGCCACAGAGGCGGAAATTCAGCAGTTAATTCAAGATAATGCTCGCTCAGAAAAGTTGATCATTTACACACCGTAAGAATGGAGGCGGTCACTGCAGCTTTCTGCTGGCTAGAGAACGCGACACACACACACCCATCGTGATTGTAACTGACTCAGAAAGCATGCTGAGGAAGATCAGGACAGGCATGCTTTGTGCATGTCTTGCTGCGGAGGACACGGGTGAGGAGCATCGTCTGGATTTTTTTACCAGATTACGCGGGTGTGTTGGGAAATGAACAGGCAGACAGACTAACTGGCTCTGCACAGCTTGGTGGAATACTGATGCATGATAAGACAGACGTGGTTAGTGCCTTGTGGGAGAGCGTGTACAGTTCGGAGGAGCATATGGATCACCACAGTCTGGTGAGATTGATGCAGGGGGGAGTGATGAGAAGTTCTGGCAGATGCTCGAGGCTCAGAGGAAAGGCAAGAGGGACATTTAATCAGAATGCTACTGGCACCATTAGTATCGGAACTCTTTGCTGGATGTTGAAGATGGGGACGGAGCGCTTATGGAAATGCCCAAAATGCTGTGATGTCGGTTCTTGAATCAAATCAAATCAAATCACATAAAACACTTTACAGTTTGTATTTGTTTCTTGGACTGCTTCATCTATATTTCCATTGTTTTGGGTATTCTTTTCATTTTCCTCTCAAACCACATTTTCACCTGTCTGCTTGTTTTCCACGTTTTACATGCCTACAACCACAATTGTTCTGTGTAACACTTGAACCATCCAGCTTGTCATGCATCTGTCAACCACAATTGTTCTGTGTAACACTGTAACCATCCAGCTTGTCATGCATCTGTCAACCACAATTGTTCTGTGTAACACTTTAACCATCCAGCTTGTCATGCATCTGTCAACCACAATTGTCAACCACAATTGTTCTGTGTAACACTTTAACCATCCAGCTTGTCATGCATCTGTCAACCACAATTGTTCTGTGTAACACTTTACTCATCCAGCTTGTCATGCATCTGTCAACCACAATTGTTCTGTGTAACACTTTAACCATCCAGCTTGTCATGCATCTGTCAACCACAATTATTCTGTGTAACACTTTAACCATCCAGCTTGTCATGCATCTGTCAACCACAATTGTTCTGTGTAACACTTTACTCATCCAGCTTGTCATGCATCTGTCAACCACCAGATGGTGCAGAACCAGCCAGTCCCTATGCTTAAAAATGAAAAAAAAAAAAATCTCATTGGGGGAGGGGGGGGGGGGGGGGGGGGAAGGGGGGGGGGGAGGTACTTAAAATAAAAGCATTCTTTTGTTTGAAGCTTTTCTTACTTTGAAATGCGGTGAGAAAGTGGCATATCAAGTCTGCTCTTTTCAGTTTTTTTTAACTGCTTAGGGATTTTTAATGTAACCTACACACTTGCTGTCTTAGTTTTAAAAAAATATATAATTCTTGTCAGAGAAGGCTAGATTTCTAATCCACTACCCTAAGATCATGGAGGAGTAACTCACTCTTGTCTTAACTTTGTAAAATGCACACAGTTCACACTTCATAACAAGCCAGATCCTCGGGAGCAAGAGGCAGATGATGTATGTAAAATCCAAACCACTTTTTACTCCCTTCTTACCCAGAATGGTGTAGTTATCGTGGAGATTTAGAGATGTGTAAGTGCAACAGGATTTACCTAAATGCATCAGGTTTTTTCTTATATGGCTAAGTAGAATTGACATCATAGCACTTGGGGCATTCTCATAAGTGCTTTGTCCCCATCTTCAGCAGCAAATGCAGAGTTAATTCAGATGGTACCAGTAACAGTCTGATTGTAGGTCTGTCTCACCATTCCCCTGAGTGTTGAGCATCGGCCACATTCCCTGATCATTCTTGGCTGCACCATTCCTAAAGGGCTCCTACAACAGCTGGCTTGTCAGGCATCAATTTACCACAGAACGGTGTGGAAACGGCCAGTTTTTTCTGACTGTTTATTTCCCAATACACAATCATTCACTGGAGAAAATATCTAAAGGACACTACCTTATGGTAACTATGGCTGGTCAGTCAGTTTAGTATACAAAGCATGAACATAGTTCTAGCAAAGACCACTAGGAAACTGAAATACCTGGACTCTTGAACTGAACAACAAATGTCCCCAAAAACCCACAAGCTTCAGAGAGTGAGGCAAACAGCTTTACCACCTTTGCCTGTAAAACATCAGGTTATTAAAGATAAGAATCAACTTTTGTGTCACTGGTATTATCTGATAATCTCTGTGATAGACTGTGGACTCAAAATGCTCCCTGTGTCAAAGAGTCAGGTTCTGACATTCAAAAGCAAGCATACAGAATGAAGCCACACAGGTAATTCAGGAAGAGATACCCAGAAGTATGTCTGCAATACATCCTTGAACTGCCAGCTATTACAGACTGGCTTAATGTTCTGCAAGCGAGATCATACCTTTTAGTAGCTGCAGATTATGAAACACTTTCTGAATGAAGCCCGTGTTAGAGCAAAGGATCACAGACTGAAAAGAGGATGGTCTTGAAAGACACGAGATACAGTTGCAGACCTTGTAGTGTTAAAACCTGTCACTTCTGTAGCATTATTTACCACATAATTACTTTATTATGGCTTTCTTTCAATTATTTGACTATTATAATTGTTCATGCAGGTTGCCCTGTGTGGAAGCAACCAAGTCATTCATCACTTCAGTTGTTGTTGGCAAGGACTGTGTGCCTAGGTAAACATTCTTTATTTCTGTTTTTGTTGAAATATTTACTCATTCTGTATCAAGCAATGGATGGTATTGATCTTACAATCATGAAAGATAATAGATAATTGATGGTAATGAGTCAGTCAATGAGTTCAATACGTGCATATGCTACTAGAGTCAGTCAATGAGTTTTTCAATAGCATATGCAATGAGTTCAATACTAGAGTTAGAATATGTGTGTGCTACGAGGATCAATAATTCTTTTGCATATGCTACATAATAATTCTTTTAAACCTAAAACCTGAAACAGCTCTGAAACCGGATGAGACTGCCACTTTTCCCAGTTTGTTGTCCTCACTGCTTCAAGTAGGTCGTACACTTGGACCATCTGCTACTGATATGTACTGACTGGTTTATACCATGACGGGAATTGTGATAAAAGAAACAAGCGCTTATGTGTAGTATCTAGATTACACACAGTACACATATTCAAATAAAATATATTTCACCCCTCCTCCTCATATTCACATTCTCTCCAGTCTGTTCTGAAGGTCTTTTGCCTCGCATTATAGTTGATACATTGTCCATCTTCACTCAGACTTTAAACTGGTTGACATGGTTTGACATTGACTTGGGGTAACAGGTTATGGGCTAAAAATCCAAAACATTATATCTGCAGGCTGTCCTGAATATTATATGTCCAGGGACAGTTGATTATATACTCTCATGGCTCCTCCCTGTGGGTCAGTCCATTCACTTAAAGCCTGTCAGCCCAGAAGGGTCTATCTGCTGGACCTGGCTTTGCATGATCATAAAAATGAGTCACACATTTTCTCTACATTTTTAACCTGCCAATGCTGGGACCCCTGGTTCAAGTTCGTCTGCTAACACCTCATTCTGAAAGGTGTCAACCCTAGCCCCTGGTCTGCAGTTCAAGAATGATAATACCAGGGGTAGAAAATTACTTTTATGACTAGTTGCCCACCCCTAAAGGTCTGGCTTTAAGATAATTACATGACACCTCAGGTTAGGTGGTCTGTGCTTTCTACGTCACTGGTGCCACCAAGTCTACCTGGTCAGTGTTATCTGTATGTTTGACATCTTATCTCTGGGCAAGAGTCTGAATGTTTGATGTCAACCAGGAAAATTAAACAGCTTTGTTCTGGGTCGACTTAGATTTTTGTTACAGCCCAGGAGCATATTTTCCTCTATAATTTAAAATATATAGACACAAACTGAGCTGGGGAAAACATGTGCTGAAGTCACGAGGCATATTGTTACATATGCCCTAGATAATTGGCCTTAATAGGGTACATGGAGATTTTCTGCCAAGTAAAATGGCTAGTGTATGAAACAATATAATTCCTGAGGTAATGGAGGCACCAATTACATCTAGTCAGTTAGAGTTAACAATGTCGAAGCTGAAAATGTGAAAAGTCACCTGGAATCAATGAATAACCAATGAAATGATGAAGATCTTAGGGACAAAACCAAAAACAAAACTGCTGCAGATTTTTAATAATTATTGTGCCAGTGGCAAAGTTCCCCAGATATGGAGAGAAGCAATCATGATACCTCTCCTAAAACCAGGAACAGACAGAACCAATGCCTCCAGTTAAAGACCAGTCAGCCTTGCCAGCTGTCTCTGTAAAACAATGGAACGCACTGTCAACTTTAGACCTCAATGGTACATGGAAAGTAAAAACATCTTCACGCTGCAGCAGACAGACTTTAAACAGTGCAACTCTACAGAAGATCAGACAACTTACCTCTCTCAGGAAAATGAAGATGCCTTCCAAGAAAAGAAGCTAGTGCTTATAGCATGGATAGATTTGAAGAAAGCTTTTGACAAGGTCTGGAAAGAAGATCTCATGAAGAAATTGAGAAACTACAAAGGGAATGAGAATATATATAGATGGGTAAAAGCATACTTGTATAACAGAAGAGCCTAAGTACAGATAGACGGACTCAAAAGCAAGACAGTCTTGCTGTGCCATCGTGTTCCTCAAGTTGGTGTCGTGTCCCCTACACTGTTTCTGGTTAAAAAATCTAGCAATGGGGCGACTAAAAAGAAGCAGTTTCATCCACCAGGCCCAACGACTCTGCAGGCGAACCAATGATCTGCCTGCAGCTTATAACCCCTTAAATGCTATTCCAGACTGGACCCCTTAGAGAGAGGATTATGAGTTGCCAATACACATCTAGACAGAAGTGACAGAAATATTCGACAAGGAAGAACAAACCAGTGTACAACATAAAACAGCCACCCTCGCTCTACTTGACGATGAATACCCACTGAATCTTTGGTTCATGTCTACACGGATGGGTCAGCACAAAATGCAAGCAGAAATGGAGGAGCAGAAATGTATATTAGGCATCCAAATAATACCAGATATGCAGCCAAAATACCTACAGGAAAGCACTGTCACAACTATGATGCAGAAGTTCAAGCCATCAAAATAGTACCGGAGAAACTGTTAAATATAGGTCATATTTCACAACCCGTGTTATTCATGACAGATGCAAGAGCAGCACTTCAAGCACTCCAATCTGGAAAATTACCTGGTTTACTAAAATTACACTCCAAACTAAGGCAAGTGGTGTAAGGTAACTATGCAGTGGATACCATTTCACCGTGAGGTTCTTGGAAATGAAAAAGCTGATAAACTAGCTAAGGAAGGTGCAAAAAAAGAACAATCTGATGTAACAGTCTCTCATCAGCAGAAGAAGAGAATAATCAAATCAATCAGAAAGCCACCAAAACCAGCACAAAACGATTACCATGTTACAGACAGACCAGATCAAGTTATTATTTTACGCAGTAAAACAGGAAACAGTCGACTTCGCAGCCACATGTACACATAATTTTAAATTAGCAAATCAGCCATGTGCACATATGGATTGGCACCTGAGACAACAGATCACGTCCTCCAAGACTGTTCCAAATACACCCAAAAACAATACATCAAGGCAAAACTTTTGGCCAAGAGAAACACAGGTGCAAGTCAAACTTTACTGGTCGCTGAGTGAATTACAAAGACAATAAAGTTCATACTAGAGACAACATTGAGGGTACAAATAATCTATTTCAGGCGAACGAAAGAAGAAGAAGAAGAAGAAGAGGAAGAAGCTAGTGAATAGAATGATGTCTCTTCTGTTAATTTAATGTAAAAAAAAATTTTAAAAATACAACCACAATTTTTCTGAAAAAAAATTATTAAAAACAAACTCTTGTAACCAACATTTGTTGTTTTATTATAGGATTGGATTACCACAGTTAGAAATGTTGAGAGCTGACATTCTCAATCACATAAAAAACACAAATGAAGCCAAGGTTGGTAACCTGTTTTCTCTAGATTTCTGCCACATTATTGTTTTGTCTATAGTAACCTGTTTTCTCTAGATTTTTGCCACATTATTGTTTTGTCTATAGTAACCTGTTTTCTCTAGATTTCTGCCACATTATTGTTTTGTCTATAGTAACCTGTTTTCTCTAGATTTCTGATACACATTATTGTTTTGTCTATAGTAACCTGTTTTCTCATAGAGTTTCTGAACCACACATTATGGGAATTTGAAATATAGTAACCTGTTTTCTATAGATTTCTGCCACATTGAATTTAAGAACTTTTTGTTTATAGTAACCTGTTTTTTTTATAGATCGACTGCCACATTATGGTAAGTAATGGCTATAGTAACCTGTTTTCTATAGAATTTGTGCTACATTATTGTTTTGATTATTGTAACCTGTTTTCTCTAGAATAAATCTGCCACATCTATTTTTCAGTCTGGAGTAGTAACCTGTTTTCTATACCACTGCTGTTTTTTGCCACATTTTTATTTGTTTATAGTAACCTAGTTTCAACTACTCTTTGCAGATGACCACATTGATAGTTACAGCCATGTGCTATATCTAACACCTGTTTAATCTATGAGAATTTCTGCTGAAAAGACAAACATTATTGTTTTGTCTATAGTAGACTGTTTTCTCTAGATTTCTGCTACATTATTGTTTTGATATTGTAAACTGTTTTCTCTAGATTTGGATGCCACATTATTGTTTTGTCTATAGTAACCTGTTTTCTATAGCTTTCTGCCACATTACAGCATTTGTCCCTATAGTAACCAAAGTGACATCTTATTCTCTAGATTTCTGTGCCACATTATTGTTTGGTCACTATACAAAACCTGAAAATAGTTTTCTATAGATTTCTGCCACATTATGTAGGAGTGACCATAAAAGATATAGAACCTGTTTTTTCTCTAGATTTCTGCCACATTCTGGTTTTGTCTATAGTGAAAAGGGTTTTCTATAGATTTCTGCCACACCATATTGTTTTGTCTGGAAGAGTAACCTGTTTTTTCTCTAGATTTCTGACCACATTATTGTTTTGTCTATAGTAACTCTTCCGTTTTTCTCTGCCTATGGTCTGCCACATTATTGTTTTGTCTATATATAACCTGTTTTCTATAGATTTCCAGCGGTAAACATTAGTGTTTTGAGAATAGAAGAACCTGTTTTCTAAGATTTCTGCCACATTTTTGTTTTGTCTATAGTAACCTGTTTTCTATAGATTTCTGCCACATTATTGTTTTGTCTATAGTAACCCGTTTTCTCTAGATTTTTGCCATGTTATTGTTTTGTTTATAGTAACCTATTTATGGGACTTGTGGTTAATGCTATTGGCTGTGTTCATGCCTGCACAACATTTTAAAAAGTCAAAATGGAAATGTATTAACTAAAAATAGACTGGGGGCAATTCTTTCAAACCGAATTACTTTTTTAAAAGCAAAAAGAACCTTAAATGTTCCCATAAGCCTAAAAATTAGTTTATGGGGTTATATCATGAATCACCTGATATATTTTGTTTTATTTAAAGCCCCAAGGAATGTATTTCGTTTAATGCCTCATGTTGTTCATGTTTTTCAATGACTTTATATACCTTTACATATTTTAAAATGTAGATAAACTGAAAAAAAAAAAAAATTTATTACTGACTTGTGTAAAATTGTTTTTTTAAAACAATTCTTTCAAGAATACCGACACCATGACCTTTTTTTTCTTTGGTAACCCTTCTGTAGTGAAAAGTTTGCATTACCGCAGTCGATAAGAGGCTCGCTTTCAAATCCAGCTGCGACTCGCTGCAGCCCACGGTCAGTGTTCGAAACCCGGGTTCACCCAGCCTCTAAGAAATGGGTACCAGAGTTGACAATCTGGGGTAAATGGAGGAACGTCGCTGTAGCTACTACAGAGTTACGATGCGAACGGCGACACAGGCGGACAATTTCTATCAGCTGGCCGTACTGGTGGCAGAGCACTTATGGTTTATAACCGTGTGCAATGACGCTGGTTCACATCTCCCTACTTTACCCTTTTTTTTTTAGTGAAAAGTTTAACTCACCACAAATTACTTGCATCATGAGGCTAAATAGACTGCAATGGTTAGGGCATAAAGAGAGAATGACAGATAACAAAGAGAGAAAAACTGCTTTCACAAAAGAGTTGAATTGGAGTAAACTCTGAGCCAGTGGAGAGATAATGTACAGGGAGACCTGCAAATACTTGGAGTCACCAACTGGGAAGAGACGGCCAATCATGAAGGGGAATGGAGGCGGATGATATCTGCACCAATGAGCATCAAGGACTCATAAAGCTGTGTCTTACTAAACAACAAATTCATTCAAATCTCTATGGTCAAAAGTCCTGTTAAATGATAAATAAGTTACTAAAAATATCCTGCTAAATGCAGGAATTGATGCTTTATAAATTATATATAGTTTAAAAAAAAATTAACATATATTTATTGGCAGTCATAGAAAGATAGGACACACTAGACAACATCAAAATCAATGGCTATGTAAAACAGACAGAATTAATCTCAAACAAGATTTGATTAAAAAAAAAGAAAATATAAATATAAATTTTGAATGGACAAGTTTCTTGAACTGGAAAAAAGAGACCTGAGTGACCACCATTCATTACACTGGATTGTCTCAAGCATTTATGCATCAAGCAGACTGCATCACATAATCAAACCACTTATTGTGGAAGTCACCAGGATTCTTAATATATCGACTGAATCCTGCTGCTATATAAGGGTGCAGCCATTAGTGAGGTTAAGCAGGACATGACAATTCGTTGGGTAAACGCAGCAGCAAAAATATGTGCTGCATTTAAGGAAGCCTTCTTATATAGGGGATCTCAGCATGCTGCCTCTGCCTTCCAGTCAGGCAGGCTCCAAAACTTTGCACTAGACAAACATGTTTAAATGCATCACTTGAAGTCTCACCTACTTCTCAGTGAGATCAGACGCCCATGTGTATTGTTGCGCACGTAAAAATCCCTTGGCAGTTGGAAATTGAAAAGAGTAGCCTAACGGTGCTGCCCAGGCAAAATTTTGAATAAAAAATCTACCCAAAATATTGTAGGATCCTCAATGGTGCTACAGAGCCTGTGCACTGCGCTGAGCTACTTTGGACTCAGACTTGAGTTAGAAGCAGAACAGAGGTTTTTTTATTACTACGTTTGTGCCACGATGTTGATTCATTATTCAAACCTCAAACTCCAAACCTCAAACCTACCTGTCATACACACCAACTTTACTTCTGTCATGACCCACTTCAGTTTACCTCATTTCAGGCTATGCCAAAAGAATGTTAACTGTCTTCTTCTGATGTGGTAACCAGTTGTCTTTGTGAATTATTTTCCATGAAGATATCCTCATTAACCTTTTGGCTCTTTTGATACCAAAAGGGTTCACAGGACATAACAAAGTGAAAATAAAAACTATGATGAAATATAATTAATTCTTTACTTTTAAAATGGCAATTTAACCAGCAGTCATGGCCAGTTGGTATGATTTCCTCAGGCTCAGGACCCCACTATCTACACGACCCATAAAAGTGGTAAAGACAGACAGTTGTAGTGACAGTGCCGGCTATCCTCCGACTAACGGTCGGCAAAGATGGCGGCCGCAAAATATCCTTTTGAGCCACAGTCGCGTGTCAATTGTGCACTACCGGTTACGAGCACACCGCAGCTGCTGCTCGTGGGTCTTAGCCATCTAGTTTAGCCCCATTCTACGCCACGTGAGCGGCGTGGGGAACATGTGGCGGTGGCGATAGTCACCGGAAAACCGCAGGAGAACCACAAATTAAGTCATACGACTGTGGCTCGAAAAGATATTTTGAGGCCGCCATCTTAGCCGATCGTTAGTAGGAGGATAGCCACAGTGCTGGTATAAAAAAAGTACTAAGGCCTATTATACTAAAGAGATTAAACAAAGAATAGATTCATTAACAAATAAGATGTAGTTTAGGGCTGAAAGAGTTAGAATGTCTACAGTGTTGTCATTATTCTTGCATAAAACATCTACATCTTCCACACATTTGTTGACTAATTTTTTTCACTGCCATAATTCACTTTCATGTCTCATAATTTCCTTTTTTGTAGCTTCTAAAAAGTGCTCTCTTTTACCTCAGTAGACAGAGATATAACATAACCCTTGATCCGTTGGGGTCGTGGAGGTGTATCGGTGGAAGCCCTAGCACACAAAACCCGCCATCTTTCTTTGTCTTCCGCTTGTTTGACAAGTGTCTAATAATGTCCGAACCAAGCTAGCTTGCGGCGATGTTTCACCACTGCCCAAAAAAGGCTCTGCAAATTTGGATATTTTACATTGAATGTTCTTCATCCTATATAGTTGCTGCTCAGCAGTAAATTTGCTTATTGTATTTGTGTATAAAAATCTCTTCATTTGTCTTCACTGTTTCAGTGGAAGATCATCTTTAGGGGTCTCATGTGCTGCGGCCGATACTCTGATACCAATCCAGCAGATGAACTGCTAGAACGAGATGTTACTGCTCATCCTAGCAACTCTGCCATTGGACTTTCTGCCCACATGCCTTTGTATCCACCAGGGCAAATGATTCATGTTGTTCGAAGTCATATTAAAGATAAAAGAACAAAGTAAGTACACACGAACCTGTTTAAAAGCTTTCTTTACTGTTTAAAAAAGTTTTCTTTGTTTTAAATCCTTTCATCATGATAATTCCTTTGCTGTTAGTAAACATGGTTTTAATTATCTTTATATCACTTTTGTTGCATTCATTATGTCTCTTAACTCTTTTAGTCCGAAGGAACGCATCATACGTTAATAGATTCCTACCTAGAGGCCCAATGAACGCATGATGTGCCGATTTTACGTCTCTCTTGACTACCCCTTGGGCCTGTGATGCTAAACCCCCCCTGGGACTCAAAGAGTTAAGTGTAAGAAGGAGAGTGTAAATATTTTATGAAAGTAGTAATACTAGACTGAGGAAACCAGGATTTCCAAGAGAAACCCTAAGGCGAACGTTGATGAGAGAAGCCAAAGGTGCTGGACTAGGATTCCGTCCATTATATCGAAGTGATAGCACAGGATAGAACGGAATGGAGAAATAGACTGTAAGCCCTCTGTGACATAAAATGGTACAATAGGACAATGAATGAATGCAAGAATAAATGCATGAATTGCTGTATGGCTGTAAATCTTGGAATTTAAAGGGGGAAAAAAACAAGGAAGAGCATAAAGATAGTGGAGATATGTTTCTGAGAAAAATGTTATGAATACCTTCAACCAGCAGCAGTTGTCTGGAAGAGGCAGTTGAAAGACGAACATTATAAACAATAATAATGATGTAGAAAGATGTAGATACTAAGAAAAACAGTAAATGATTCAAATCATTTAAGTGTGTTTATATTTTATAACCTAGAAAAAAAATTGTTAACTTCAGATAATATTTTTTTCAAAGTGTTTTTAACAAGGATCTACAAACCAAATAATTTAATGAATTGACTGTAATCTGTCAAATGTATCTTACGATGCAACTAAAGAAGGATCCTGTTGCTTAGATAATCTTAGCTGCAGAACTAAATAATTATCATGAGAGTATGGGTTGTTCAGCGGCGTCTGCGGCTTAGATGTTGTGAGTCCAACTCGTAATTCCAATGTACCACGATCAAAACCCACTGCTGGCTGCGTGGATATTTAAATTGGTACGGGGCGTCGCAGGTCGACCCACCCTAAAATGGGTACCAGGATGTATTTCCTGGGTAAGTAAAGACGGCCCGCATAATGCTGACCACATTACCCACCTAGTGCTGATGGGTCTATAAAAATATGGGTGTTTTTCTCATATGCCCAATGCACCAATTACTTTTTTGATGGTTTCTTCTATATTTTGAGTCTTCTGCTTCTTCGTCTTCTTTTTGTTCTCCCTGTTGGTAGTTTTCAGGTCAGAAGGTAAAAGGCCTCTATGAAGCTCCGTTGCCTTTACTTTGTAATTGGTGGAGTGTTTCCATTGGTCCATTCAGTGTGGATCCTCCTCCTCCATCTCTAACAGCTTCCATTGCTGAGCCATCCTTGAACACCCCTGTCCATCTATTTCTGGGATAGTTTTGTTGTAAGTTTTTCAGACGTTGGTACTGCAGAGAGAAAGTGCAAGGTTCCATAGTTTTCAGGTTGGACTGTGACAACTTTCTGGTCTGTCTGCGCCTTACAGCCTGAAGTTGAGAGTGCTTTTCTGTTGGGATGAGCTCTTTAAGATGGATTGCTGTCCCCAGCTAATGAGCCCTCCCTGACCGGCTTATATAGTATTAAAAAGGTGAGACCACCTTTCTCATGCTTTAACCCCTTTTGAGTCTCAGCTGTGTCATAACTTTTGCATATCTTATGCATTATCTTCCAATTCTCTGGCTTTCTAAGTTAGTTGCATATTTCTTACAGAATGAGAAGAACCAACCCCAGCATTTGTTGGCTGTTTCAGTTTACATTCAATAGTTTGCCATTGCTTTCTGAAGGGTTCGTTCTTGACACCACTGTCAAAATCAATATAATACAGTCTGCTGCCAAATCGTCTGCAGCTGGAATTGAACTAGGCACCTTGATGGCTTTTTACACAAACTTGAAGGACAGAGTACTCTAGAATGACTGAATATGCCACAAATACATGAAAAATAAAAAAATAAAAGTAGACGCCTTTTGCATATTAGGGCATATAGGGCTAGACCTATATTTTTATAGACCGATCGGCACAAGATAGGTGATGTGGTCAGCATCCCACTGGCTGCCTCGACTTCAGAGGACTGCACCCGGTACTCACCCAAGGCTGGGTCGACCTGGGAGCTAAGGTCATTTTTGAAAAAACTCCGGCTCCACCAGGAAGCAAACCCACGACCCTCCGATCTGCGGCCAGCGTCTAGCCACTCCGCCACGGCAACTCCCACAAATACACCATTTTCAGATAATATTCCAGGGTTTTGTTTAGCAAATAACACTGGGAGTCAGGCCCAGCATTATAATAGACAAAAAATTCAAACCCTTCAAATCAAGTAAATAAAGGACCCCTTTCACCCCATTATAGTTTCTGGGATATGGTACCAGACTCATATTGTTTTTGCCAATCAGTTCTTCAGCTGTTATGTGGTTAACATCATACCAGATGCTTTTGCTTCCCAAGACAATTTCTGCTGACACATTTTACCTGGGTTAACCTGGGATTGCAAGATCATTTGTTTAAACCTGCCCTAACACTAATTCAGATCCAAGACCTTAGGTTTTTTGTAGTTTGAATCCTTGAAGAAGTTTTCCCTAAAACTAAAAATTGCCAGAATAATCAGCTATTGCGCTAAAGGAATCATTAGTCCACCAGGTTAATGACACAATGTTAGTAAGACTGTCTAATTATTCATAGTAAAATTTATATGATAAATACAACCTAAATGAAAGCAGTATGTAAAGCAACACAAATTACATGTCTGTAAATTACATATAAAAATTACAAAATATTTAAGGTTGTTGCGTATCCTTTACAGGACGTTGCAGAACCAACCCTAACAGCCCCTGGCTGTTGTGTGGTTTCTCTAGGCAAATTTACGTCCAGTAGTTTGCCATTGCTTTCTGGACGGTCGGCTTTCTTGATACCACTGTCGAAACCAATGCAAGGCGCATGGCCCGCAGCTGGGATCGAACCCGGCATCCCGGCATTACGAAGTGAAGTGTTCGCCACAGAGCCGACTACAAAATATATAAATATAAAATAACAAACAGATAGTCTGAGAACTCGATGGACATTATATATCCCAATTATAACCCTAAGCATCAAACAGGGTATTTTAAAAAACATTACCACTACTTTAAATGGTCATTCCATTACACTCTGCCTTTTATGTTCCCATCAGGGGCTTCTGCAGCAGTTCTAAGCCCATATATCAAGCAGTCTGGGCCAGTAATGGAGATTTTGATGAAGTTCTGGTCTCACCAACGATGGTCAATGATCACATGCCTGATAATGTTTTGGAGGCTCTGGAAAAGGTTGGTATACATTGTGTGAAGGGGCTTGGATATAACTGTAGGTATTGTTCATATAATCATCAGTCGGATAGAGAAATGTGATGCTGACAGTAACCACTTTGTGGGTATGTAGTAGACAGAACTCATAGATTCCATCCATGATATTGAAAAGATTTCACAGGATAGAATGGGAAGGAGGAATAGACTGTGAACCCGATGTGACTTATAATGGGCCCATCAGATTTATGGTGATGATCGGGGCACTAATGGAAATGATGTTGCTGATGATGATAATAGTGATGATGATGATGATGATGACAATGATTTTGAGGATGAAGTTAATAATGATGATGTTGAGGATAGTGTTGATGATGATGATGATTATAATGCTACTGATTATGATGGTAATGATGTTGATAATAATGATGATGTTAATAGTCATGATGAAAATGATGATGATAATGATGATGTAGGATAAGTTTGATGTGATAGGAAAAGAGCAAGATGTGGGCATTGAGACAAAATACTTAGATTTGATCAAGGTTCTTTGGGAACAAGTGTACAATGCAAAATGCAATGCAGACACAAATCAATCATTTTGATCTGGAGAGAATTGTGCAAATAGAGTGATCAGCCAATCTTGTCGACACTACACTCAAAGCAAAGGTAAGGCACACGTTTAATCAGATTGCTACTGGTACCATAGTAATTGGAATTCTTCACTAGCTGCTAGAAATTAGGACGGAGTGCTTATGGGAATGTCTCAAGCACTGTAATATTAGTTCTTAGCTCAACACTCAACACTCAGTGAGATAAATACCTGGATAGTTTTGTTAACTGGTTAAGTGATTAAGAACACAGACCTGATCAAAACCTTAGGTTTCTTGTGTAAGATATCTAAACATGATAGCCAGCTCTCATCGGCATGGCACATAATGATTAATATTTTTTCTGTTTTGTTGAATTTAAAATGCTCAGTTAAGAATTAACATCCTATAAGTGTTCCGTCAAGATCTTCAGCAGCAAGCCCAGAGTTCCAGTTCTGGTTTCACCAGTAACAGTCTGACTGTATATCCATCCGCCTCGCCTTTCCCTTGATGACTGTATATCCATCCGCCTCGCCTTTCCCTTGATGACTGTATATCCATCCGCCTCGCCTTTCCTTTGAGTGTTGAGCATTGGCCACATCCACTGGTCACTCCTCTCAGCAACATTGTCCTCAGACCATGATGATTGGTTTGTGCCGATTTATGACAAGAATATCTTCTTCTTCTTCGTTCACCAGCTGTGAATTCCGGCGGAAGGTCCCGGTTAATCGTCCGCTTGGACTTTTGGCTTTTACCTGGACCTGAGTTTTGCGTGTACAACCATTTTGCTGTTCCCTGCCTCGCGGGCAGATGTACTCCGACTTCAAGGGAAACAAGAATATCAAATTAAAAATACCCACAATATGAGAAATACAAGCAGCAAGATTACTTTTGAATGTTACATGGAATCCATGGCTTTTTGATGAAGAGAAAAGGTGCTGATACTCACCATAAAAATTTTTTTAAAGGTACCGGTGCGCACCACAAAATATCTTAACAGGTGCTAATACTCACCAGAAAGTTTCTTTTACAGTAGTTTTTACAAAATAGAGTATTAAAAAAAAGATGTTGGTACTGTTCACTATTGCATACTGCCAGAAAAAAAAAGGACCTGCATGGAAACTAATATTTTATGGAAGTGAATCATGGACAACAGTATAACTGTTTGAACAGAGAGGAAGAAACAATAGATTTCACAGTTTATTGCTTGGCATATTTCACTATATCTCATCAGGTTCATACTACAGCAACAGTTGATGAAAATTAAGCAAATAAATGAATCCTTTGAACTGAAACACAAAATCGACTTCATTCAAAAACTGTCTGTTTCCCCAGGTTAAACACAAGATGAAGAGCATAACTAGTTGTAGTCTGAATGGTCAGACATTGGTCAACCAGGCAGTGCCATTCTTTTATCACTATCATACCTTAAATGGAAAAATCATCAGTCCCATTATCACTAGAACCCATATTGAATTCTTTTAGTCTCCTTATAGTTAATGCATAAAAAACGTTTGGCTGCACCTGCAAACGTTGAAGTAAAAATGCTGAGATAGTTAATCTTTCCTGTGGCAACTTACGGATGTGAGTCATTGACTCTTACCCAGTCATTGAAGAAAAACGTTGGAGCTTTTGAATTAAAATGCTACAGAAAAATCTTAGAAAAAGAAGAAAGCCATAACTTACTACATGATCTGAGCATTGAGGAGAATTGGCTCATAAAAAGCATCCTAAAAAATTATCCAGTTTCGTCCTTTTTAGGACTAAATTTTTTGTTATTTGAAGCCTACCCTGGCTTTTGCCGGGGGCCGCAATATAGGCAGGCCATAAAAATGGCCAATTGTCTGAACGCGGTTTCTGGGACCTCTCCACGGCGATCCTCATCCACATGGTGGCACTTTGTGTCATCGGGTGTTTATTGCTTGTGTGATGTCCTGGTGGGGTAGAAAGTCAGTCAAAAGCATCCTGTCGTGAGAGCTGAGATATTTTGGCCATGTTAAAGGTCACGGTGGCCTGAAAAAATTGTGATATAGAGTACAGTTTCTGGAGACCAAGACAGAGGTCAACCTCCTGAAGGTGGACACAAGACACTAAAGATGCATTGGCTATAAAAGCACATAGGGTCGGAGAATTGACCCCCCCAAAAAAAGGACAGACTTTCAGGCATGCCATGATGGGAGTGATATTCTGTTAAAAAAAAACTTGCTGATTCATGATGATGCCCATTGAGGACAGTAATCACAATAGAAACATGACATCTGATTATTAGTCCAAAGAACTCTGCCCAGACAAACAATGACAAACAATGTTGTTAACTTTGCCAATGATTTCAATGATGCAATGTGTATTCACCCTCAACTCTTAGAAACAACAAAAACAATAGAAACAAAAACAGTTGCAACAACAGTGTCTCAAGAAATTTATGATTAGTGGGGGCCATCATCACAGTGCTCTGGACAGAACTATAGGTGCTTCAAACTCCTTCTTAGTAGCTTCCTTAGTGATCGATCACACCTGTTCGATGTTTATAAATCAGATAACTTGTGTCCTTAGTACAGTGTTTATGTCTGGCTACTCCAGGTTGCACTCCAATATCTTGCACACCAATATCTTGCACTCCAATGTCTTACACATCAATATCTTGCACTCCAATATCTTGCACTCCAATATCTTGCACTCCAATATCTTGCACACCAATGTCTTGCACAGCAGTATCCACCAGTCTGGACAGGGATACTGATTCTTGCATGTTTTGTAGTTTTCTTTGTAAAATGTATCTTGCATATCTCTAAAGAAAGATATTTACTTGAAAGATAATTTTTTTTTTTAATACAGGTTGTGATGAAAGTTGCACCAGAGAAGCCAGTTCATACGCTGACTGAAGATCAGCGACGAGAAATGCTCAGTCACCCTTCTGTGTCTTCTTTGGCCACACCAACTGCTTCTGAGGTCAACAACTCTTCTGAAAGAACTCAGAATGCACATGGCTCTGAAGACAGTACTTCTCACAATAATGAAAACAACTTTAATGGCAATGGAGAGGCCCTTATAGAAGAGGATGAAACATCAGCATTGTTCGGAATGCATAGGAGTGAAATAGAAGATTTGGTGAGAGCTCCACTTGCCAGCCCTGAAACACTGTCTTTAGCTTCAGGGGTTACTGTTTTCAGTCCTAGTTCTAGTATACTAGGTAGAGAGAGTTTGAAACAGTCCTTGCCTCGTTGTGTGGAAAAACAGATGGATAGTTCCAGCGAAACACCTGACAGCAGTGGTATTAATTCAAACAAGAACCATTCTTATAAAGAAAGTAGGAGTGTCTCACAGGCAAGCAGGAGTTCATCTTCAAAAGGCAACAGCGTTTCTTCCGCACTTGAAGATGCAGAAGCAACAAAACAGTCAGAATCTGATGACTACAAAGGTAAACTAAAAACTGGGAACACAATAAGTGTTACAGCAGAGGTTGTCAATGAAATGATGAAACAGAATGTGAAGGCATCTCCACTTGCATTTGAAAATGAAGAGACAATGTCAGGAGGAAGTGAATTCGGTGACAGTTTAGGGCAAAGACAGGAGATTCCAGACTTCAGCACTGCTGTCCTGGAACCCTCGTCCCACACACATGTCATAAGTGCTTCATGTCAGAATCCTGGCAACCCAGCACACATTTTGCAGAACTTTACAGAAAATATTAATAATGGGCCTCCTTGTGATCTAGCATTGAATATAGAACTGGAGTCTGATCTTGCTCGGAAGGAAAGCGAAGATGGAACAGGAGTAAGAGACAGTTATACTCGACATTCACCTCTGGAATCAAATCAGCATGAATACGCTCATCCTAATATTTATTACTCTCAAGCTGGAATAGGCTACCCACATAATGCCTTTCATCCACCCATGAGATTTTACTCTTTTCCCGATGAACAACCAACAGAGAATTTTGGAAATAATGACACTGATGAACTTGAGGATGATGGAAATCAGCCATTAATTAACACAGACTCTTATAGAATTGCTGTTGTAAATGAAAGTGATTCACGTGTTAGAAAAGTTGGACCTAGAAGGCCATTTACTCATGCTGAATCAGAATCTAATCTTCTGTCCCACAAAAGGTTGTTACCTAAAATGAAGCGTTCAGCCGAACAAGATGACATTGTTCATTTATGTGATGCTTTAGAAGTGTTTGAAAATGAAGAGGACAAAGTTCGATTATGTCAGTCTTCTGAAAAGTTGAATGAAGAAGAATTAAATGATCCACCTAGTTTAGATGAAGATTCTGAGAGTTTCAGCATGTCACTGTCTCCATTTAATATGTCTTCCAAGAAAACGTCACTCTCGTTTGATGAGAGCATTGGAATTCATCCCTCTCAAGTAATCGGCTCTTTCTATGGAACAGAAACCGTACAAGCTGGTCACAGTCAAGACTCTTTTGACCCACATGAACAGCAGCTTTCATGTGCAGAATTTGAGGACATGAATTGTACCACAGTATTCAAAGTCAGCCAGAAGGAGCAACAAGCCATGAATCAAGATGAAAATACCCCTCTATTAATAAACAAGACCAGTCAAGAGACAGTCAAAGAGAAACAACCGTTAGATAGTGTTGCAAATGTAGTCATAGGACAAGGAAATTATAATTCAATGCAGGAAACTCACTTGTGATAATGAATGTTGAACTGTAAATTATTAAGCTTTACATTTTTTTTTAAAAAGTTGTATTTGTAAATATATTTAAAAAATAGTATGCCTGAACACATTTGTCAATGTGTGTGCTTTCCATGTATTCTGTGGGTATTTTTTCATGACTAACTGGCTATTTTTGTGTTTCTCTGAAATTCAGATCAGTATGCATTTATGCTAAGACCACTATTTTTGTTCAAGAGGATACATTTGCCCAGTTGATTCAGAAGTACATATATAATGTTCATCTGATATATATAAACATAAAGGTGTATTTATATTAAACAGCTCTGGATATGTAAATGTTAATTTATCATTTATTAACAGATGTGGATATTTAATGTGCATCTATTATACTTTAACAGATGTAGATATCTAATTTTCATTTGTTATAGATAATTATGCTTAGTGTGTGTAGTCAGAGTTTTAACTTTAGTGCAGAACCACCCCATTATTGCTCCATTCCTGTCTTTTAAAACCTCACCAAAATGGCCATCAGTGTCCCATTTTAAAACTAGTAAACAAAAAAAATTATTTCCTGCAAAAACTAGAAACATGCATTTACAGTGAATACATGATGGGGCTCTTAGAGGTGCCAACACCATCAGTCACCACCAGAATTGCAATTTGTCATTGATGGCAGTTATTCGCCATAAAATTTATTGCTTAAAGCATTTTGCCAGCCTGAACACGAAATGGCTACCTGCTGTTTTCTATATATAATGACACAAACTGCATAGGGCATAGATGAAAAGCATTTTGCGTGAAATATACAGCACACAGTGCTGCACTAAGCACTCAGCTCACTAGCTTAGGCAACGAAACCATGCACTCTAGTCCATAATTAGTCATTTTGTTATTAAACCATTGCCAGAATCCTAAAACGCTTCTAAAACTTTAACGGACGGTTCCTGTCTCAACCACACTGGACTGAAAATCTTTCGTTGCACTATTTAGATTCTATGGACGGGTGAAAAAAAGAATAGATACACACAGTCTCTGTAACAAGCATGTGATTAAAGTTAATTAAATAAAGGTGTTTCCTTCAAAGTCACAATGCAACTTCCTGAGAAGCATGGAACCAACAGTCTGCATATAAATAAGCCAGATCAGTAAAACAGAAATGCACACAAAACTAAAGTTCTGGAACAAAACCAAAGTCTACAAGTAGACAAACAACCAGAACTTTCTACCAGAGTTTACAGCACGGCAAATGAATGCTAAGGAAGGAAGAAAATCCTTGGTTAATGTAACATAATAAAAATTTGAAGGGTAAAAAAAACATAAAGCAACTGGCACCTCATAGCAGTTGCTGTGAAGAAGTGTTTCACCAGTAACACTATTTAAAAGTTGAGAGATATTTATATACTTTCAGTAAGTAGGGTACCAGCTGTATGGCAATGTAGATCTAACTTAAATCCAGTTAACAATGTTTACTCTATACGAAACCTACACCATATTATCCTAAACAAAACTATCACTGCACCCTGTATATGAAACAAGCACCATAACCCTTCACCCATATATGAAACTATCACTCCTCATACCTATATGAAAGTAGCACTACATCCCTCTGGATACAATTAAAATAATATCCCTCTGTGAAACTAGCAAATAATCCCTCTATATTTAGCCAACACCACATTTTTCTATATGAAACTGTCACCACATCTCTATGTATAAAGCAAGCGCCACATACCTCTATATGAAATAAGTACTGAATTTCCTATTTGAGTCCCGCAGAGTATGTTAGCCTTCCCACCCCATTCCCCTTTGCCCCCCATGTTCCCCTCTACCCCGTTCCCATCTTACCTACAAAGTCTCAGTCAAATCACAATGTAATGACACACATGTATGGCCCTGTTCTAATCTGCAGAAGTGTTTGAGAAAATGTAAGACTCCTGACTTTTGAGGCCATCAGAGTAGGACGATTTTAAACATAATAAATGTCATAGTAAATCAGTGAAATCACTGAAGTCATGGAGTAAAAGTTATGTACATTAGAAAGTAAATTCCTAAATAACCTAATGAACATAATATGGTATGAATTTAAGATGGCAGAGAAATTAAAGACATTTCTGGATAACTGGACAGTTCCTTGTATCAATGTTGAATTAAGAATTAACATGACAGCACTCAGGACACCGCTTTAAGTGCTCCGTTCCTATCTTCAGCAACAAGTGAAGAGTTAAAATTCCAATGGTACCAGTATCTATCCGATTTTATATCTGTCTCGCCTTTCCCCTGAGTGTTAAGCGTTGGCCAGATCCCCTTGTAACTCCTCGCAGTGCCATTCTCCTCAGACAATAATGATCCATCTGTTCCTCGGCACTGTTCACTCGCTCCCGGTTTTTACTTCCGTTTTCAAAATGGCGGACAGCAGCTGTGTTTATTTTCGCTGGCTGTCAATTCTCTCGGATTGTTCTGTTTCATAATCATGGACTGCTATTTTATGCGCATTTCCAACACAGGATATTATGTGTTTTTCGTGGGAACAGCGTGTATTGTGGTTGTGCTGTGTCGGGGCGGGATAATGACCGATAGTTTTGGCAGCCTCGACCACGCTGCCTTCGCAATGTTTTGATCGCGGCGGTCCACTCGGGAAGACAGAATCTCGTCAGCAGGGGACTGCAACTGTCTAGAGAGCAAACTCAATAAAAGCTGTCTCCAGAAACGGAATGTGTCAACCATATATTTGGTGGGGAGGAATCGACACATACGGTTAACTCAATGGCCACTCACTCCCAGAGGGCCCAAACAACATCCAGCTTGTCATACATCAGTTCACCACCAAGTGGTGCAGAACTGGCCAGTTCACTTGTACCAAAAATTATTAATAATAAAAAAACAATATATTGGGCACTTCCTGAGGATAAGCCAGTACAGAATCACCAACCAGGCACTCAAATGGGAAAACAAATAGATTGCAGAAGCAAGAGAAACCCTTAAATGAAGGTTGTTGAAGAAGGCCAAAGGGCTGCAAAGGATTACATGAGTATAATATTATATCAATAGGACTGCACAGGATAGAATGGAATGGAGGACTAGACTGTGAGCCCTATGTGACATGTAAGGGCACAACCAGGTGATGATGATAATTTTATCAGTAGGGTCTATATTTACCTTACATAGCAAAAGACTGTATTCTTTATTTAACATTGTAAAACTGAGTGTGAATCATATTACTGTGTTATTCTTGTCTTTTGGACAAGGTAATGTTCTGATTAATTCTTTATCTGGCTAAAAAGAAAATACCTTATTATTTCACTATTTGTGTAAAATTTTAATTAATTTTGGCTGTAACTTTATTTTCAGGCAATATCTAGTTTCAGACACGGTCTAATGCAATTTTGTGTTGTGTTAGGCCATTTTGTGACTCAAACAGGAGATACATTTGTTTATTCAGGAAAGGAAAAGAGTGGTTTGAGCGGGGTGGGTTTTCTGATGACAAGTTTTTTCATCACTTCTTGGATATAATCCGATCAGCGACCGAATAATAACTGTCAGACTCAAGTCACGGAAAAAAACATCGCAATCATTCAAGTTTATGCCCCAACATCTGCATCAGAGAAAGATGAAATTCAAAACTTTTATGACAGTTTAGAAGAGACATTAGAAAGGGTAGAAAAAAGAGATATTATAATCATCATGGGAGATTTTAATGCAAAAACTGGCTGAGGTAGAATAGAGGAAGAGGAAATAGTCAGAGGCCCATTCGACATAGGAGACAGAAACGAGAGTGGGGAGAGACTGATCAAATTCTGTATAGCACAGAATATGTGCATTACCAACACACTATTTAAACAACACCCAAGAAGGCTCTACACCTGGACATCACCAGATGGAAATAGCAGGAACCAAAGTGATTATACTTTATTACAACAAAAATGGAGGACATGTATAACATCTGCAAAGACACTCCCTGGAGCTGACTGTGACACTGATCACAAACTTCTTGTTGCAGAGTTTAAAATAAAACTGAAAAAGTGTTGAAAGGGGCTAAGCCAATGCGTTTTGATTTGAGTAATTTGCCAAATGATTACAGCATTGAGGTTAAAAACAAATTTGAGGCACTAATGGCAGCTAAGGAGAATATGACATCTGATGAGTTGGCTGATGAAACAAGAAACATCATCATTACAACAGCTCAGAACATGATTCCTAAAAAAACCACACAAGAAACAGATTTACATTACAGAAAAAACTTTCAAGATCATAGAAGAAAGAAGAAATTTAAAGCAAGTAGGGACAGAAAGAAATAGCCATGCATATAGGAACTACACAAAAGAAATCAGAAGAGCTAACAGAGGAGATAAAAAACAGTTTATTATAAATACCTGTAATAGAATTGAACAACCCCAGATGCAAGGAAGAGACAGAGACACGTTTAAAGAAATTAAAACATTGAAATGCGAATTCAGGTCTTCTTTACATGTAATAAGTGATAAAACGGTAACACATTAACCGAAACCAAAGACATATTAGAAAGATGAAAAGAATACCGTAGAGAAATGTATGAGGATGTGACAGGTATCTCAAAAACGACTTGTGGAAGTAATGAAAAAGAACCAGAGCCTTTACTGGATGAGGTACAATCAGCAATACACAGCCTGAAGAAAGGAAAGTCACCAGGTTGTGACGAAATACCAGCAGAACTAATTAAAACAGGAGGAGAGGCCAGCGTCCGAGTCTACCACTCACTGTGCTCAAAGATCTGGAACAGTGGCATTTGGCCTAAAGCGTGGAAAAGAACAGTCTATATCCCTCTCCCAAAGAAAGGAAATCCAAAACTATCCTCCAACTACCATACCATCACATTAATAAGTCATGCTATCAAAATCCTCTTACGAATTATCATGAAAGGGATTGAAAGGAAATTACAATATTAGCTAGATGAAGCACAAGCAGGTTTTAGACAGGGTAGAGGAACTAGGGATACATCTTTAATATGAGAATAATTTTTGAAAAATGCAGAGAATACA